ACAAGATGTTATATTCAAAGTTATAAGAATCATCAATGTTTGTATTATTTCCGCTAGAACAAGAAGGGATATTAGGATCCGGTCCCGTCCCGTAGGGATCCTTTATTGGCCATCGCTTGAGAATTGAGATTCGTCTTTGATTATCGTTGGTTCGACAAATGAATGTTCCTATCGACATTCGACAATTGGCTTCTATAGACTCATGCATTGTCTCTTCTTATTATACAAATCTACTAAAGCGGTAAATTTACCTCCCATTAAAAGCTCTTCGTTGGCCTTGTCTGTTTCTCACCAATAATGGGCTAATGTGGTTTTGTCTGGGGACAATATTCCGGTTGAATAACATGCTTTGCTAATTACAAACCACATAATTAAACAGAGGTGAATTTTGATAAATTTATGGAATGTTGCCTTTCAGAAAATAGTTTTTATAATTCCTCTGCTTTTAGCTAAAACCTTAAATCATGGTAAAGCGCAGGAGGAGCCTTGTAGTTTAAATGCCTGAGTCCATTTCCTCTGCTTTAAATTAAGATAATAAAAATCAAATATTCTTGTTTCGCCGGTTAGTGAGGCCATTCTTCTCATGATGATCGGAGTAAGTCGAAGATGTTGCGGAAATAGAGAACTACAGATTGATACCGATTATGATTGTATTTTGTTGATAGATTTTTCCCATGAATTTAACTTTTCTTTTTCATTATGTCTAGCAGCCACTAACCTTGGCACGACTCATCGTAGACGCCTCTCTAACCTAGCCAAAAGTCATATATGGGTTCTCCATTTAATGTGTTTATGCCCGCGAAAGCACGACTGTCCAATTTAATTCTGTCTGTACCTTGGCCCATATATCAATTCATACTGAGATACTTTTTTCAAATTTTTCCTTAAGATAAAATACAATTTTGTTAGTACTACATGTTAAAAGTTGGATTGCTAGGCTATTATCTTTTCTTTTTAGATAAAAACATCTAACTCTCTATGTTAAATATAGATATAATCTCATTCAATTTGAATGAGTAATCCTTATTCTAACAACAGTGATAGAATTCAAAGAGTTATTTTTATTAGCCTATTTCAGTGTGTGTAGTTCAGTTCTTTTAATGTGGTTAAGTATTAGAAGATAGTAACTAAAGTTAAATTATACTCTCTCCATTTCAATGATCAATGTTTAAAAAAAAAGTTTCAAAAAGATGCATGTTTACATTTTTCCAATGTGATTTTACCAGGCACTGATGATAAATTGTAAACTTTAAAAAAAAAAAAAATTTATTGGATCTGTTTGGCTAAAAACTGAGAGAAATAGTTAACCACAAAAAATACATTTATAATCAAAATTTGAGAAGTTTTCTATTAAAATGAAAACTCTAAAGCATACACCTTTTTAAAACGGGAAGAGTATAATATTTACTAAGAGAAAATAGCCTTAATGTTATTAATTTATAAAGTTTTTACTGTATATATTCTTCTTGTATGATTTTATTTATGGTTCCGATTAACATTACATATATTACTTCCTTTTCATAAATTTATACTTTCTATAACTTTTCATAAAATTAGTTTGGTTCGGATTGTATTTTTAAATTTGGAGTATATAGCAAATGTAATTAGTTGTAACATGTACCAGATTCTGAGCCGTGTTTTTCTAAAGTGCGAGAATATTTTTAACAAAATCTAATTTATGAAAATAAAACATTTTAATTTTTGCAACTTAGTGTATTTAAAATGTATATAATTATATTGTTTTGTTCATATTAAATGAAACTTAAAATAGAATATGAATTCATTTTAAGGTTTAGTGTTTTGCTGATGGTGTTAAAAATATTTTTTTTAAAATTAAAGATTTATCCAAGGATTTAGAATTTACAAAAGGGTTTAAAGGTTTATGATTTAGGGTTTAGTGTTTTGATAATAGTACTACAAAATTAAAAAAAAAATTGCAAGTACTATTATCTTTTTTATTTTTGTATCTTTAAATTTTAAAAACATAATATAATTTGGTATTTTTTTGTTTACATTTCTAAAAATACTCAATATAAGTCTCTTGGTTGGTGAATCTAGAGGGGATGAACCCAAGAATTATTCACATTTATATTACATACTCTGATGGTAAATTTGGCACAAGGCTTAAATGAAAGTTGATTTATTTCAACATCAATTTCAATCAAGCCAGATTCTCTTGATCTTATAACACTTTCAACGATCTCTTTATGAAAAGACATTAATTTTTACATGTCAGTTTTAATAAGAAGTTAATGGCACTGATCCGTCTTAGCATAACTGAAAAAAAAATATAAATAGAGGGGATCAGTGCCATTAACTTCCATTCATCATTACACATTCAATCGATCCTTGAGAAATTGAGAGATTAAAAATGGCGAATTTCTCCGGTTTACACCTTCTCTTCTTCTCGTTCATCATAGCTTCAGGTAACACATACCTACATTTTGCTCTGCTCTACAAATAAAATCAGTTTCAGAAACATTTTTTTTTTTTGTTACATGCAGTGTCCGTCGTCTCCGGCACCGTCTTCACCATCCAGAATAGCTGCAGTTTCACCGTCTGGCCAGGAATCCTCACCGGAAACGGCGGCGCACCACTCAACGACGGCGGGTTTACCTTAAACCCTGGAGCCTCCGTCGACGTAACCGCGCCTGCGGGATGGTCCGGCAGAATATGGGGCCGAACAGGCTGCAACTTCGACGGCTCAGGCGCCGGAAGATGTCTCACCGGAGACTGCGGCAACAAACTAAGATGCGCCGGCGCGGGAGGCGTTCCACCGGTCACGCTCGCCGAGTTCACCATCGGCAATGGCGGCGCGAAGGACTTCTACGACGTAAGCCTCGTCGACGGTTACAACGTTCAGATGGGAGTCACGACACGTGGCGGCTCAGGGGATTGCCAAAACATTGGATGCGTTGCGGACCTGAACGGGAGATGTCCGAACGAGCTACGTGTTATGAATGGGGGGAGTGTTGTGGCGTGTAAGAGCGCGTGCGAGGCTTTTGGCAAACCGGAGTATTGTTGCACCGGTGCGTACAATAAACCGGAGACTTGTCCACCTACGAATTACTCGAGAATATTTAAAGGAGCTTGCCCTAAAGCGTATAGTTATGCATACGACGACGCTTCCAGCACTTTTACTTGTGCCAACGCTAACTATTCTATCATTTTCTGTCCTAGATAACTGTAGTTATCGACGACTGGAACTATGAAATTAATAGTGAAAAGGTTTTATGGAATGAGAAACTCTACAGGCTGAAACTATAATTATACTGAATAAAATTAAAGAATGAATAATTTCTTGGTCCACTGCTGGTTTAACTAATGATTCACTAATGATTTTACACTAGAAAATATGAGTTTCAAATTTCAGAGAAAATGTGAAATTATGAGAATTAAGGGATAAAATGCTTAAAAAGGATCTATCTATAGTATAAAATAAAGAATATTGTCCAAGGTGAATTTGATAAGGCCAACTCAGCTAATGGAGTTAGACGTAAATCCTCATAAAATATCTAAAATTGTAATAATATAATTTTATATATTGTTTGTTTTATACAAATTTAAATATGAAAATGTATTAATTTATAAAAATAATATATTTTATAGCATATTAAATAATCTAAAATTTCATCTTTCATATTTTCCGCTTAGTCTCCAATTTTTTTAGGCGTTAGGTCTAATACAGTCGTCCGATTAGCGCTAAGTGTAATTCGTAACATAGATTATCTTATCCCAATGTAGATACAAAATAACAAAGGTAGATGGATTATCGTGGTATCTACGTGGAGAAGAAGTAAGACACGCAAATTTATATATTTGTTTTGTTCTGAAATAATTAAATAAATTTTTCATAAAAAGTTATAAAGATTTTTTTTATGGTTTTGAAACGTATGATAAAAACTTTCATATTATAACTTTATAAGTATAGATGACAATGTTATCTATTTGAAGATTTTATTTCGCGTTACCTTGAATGGTTGAGTTTTATGGATTTCAATTTTAATCTTTAAATCGTCGCTATCACATTATATTATATATATATATATAATCAGAGGCGGACCCACGTGTATTAATGGTGGGTCAGCTGACACCCCTTAAATAATAAAAACCGTTTTGTTACATAGAAAATGTTCAGATTCACTAGCTCTGTTGGCATTATCTCCGTGGCTGACACCCCTACTATCCGGGTTCGAGTCAACCTAACATCCATTTTTATATTATTTTCGTGATTTTAAAAGCTCATTAACACTTTTGACCCATGTTAAAAGGAAGTCTGGGTCCGCCACTGTATATAATGTATATATGTTAGTATGTTTATTTCTTATTACTGATAAATAATTTAATAGGTCAGTGCCAGAAAAATTGTAGAAGAGAACTCTACCAGATAAAATTGACGACCCATCTGTGGTAGTGAAAGAATTCTGTTTGATAATTTGATACAGTAGAGTTTAAAAATTATTTCGTCTATGCAGTATAGATGATTGAACAGCAAAGAACAGGTAACCCGATAGCCATACTAACGCTCGACTCCTAGTCCATTACAATTAATATATCTTGTCATCTATTATATATAACTCTATTATGTACCCTAGATTAATACCAATTATGATTGTAATTATTAATAGTAGATATTATCATTGTGTCTGGCAGCCACCAACGTTGGCCCGACTCTTTGTAGACACCTCTCTACAAATAGTATACTCCATTTTATGTCTTTGTTGAGCTTCCCTAAGTCAACCTAGCTAAAAGTCATTTATGGGTTCTCCATTTATTTCCGCGAAAGCACAACTTGTCCAATCTAATTCTGTCTGTATTAGCCCATCAATTCATACAGAGATATTTATTTCAACTTTTTCTCAAGACAAAATACAATTCTTTTAGTACTACATATTAAAATTTGGATTGCTAGGCTATTATCTTCTTTTTTTTAAGACTATTATCTTCTCAAAAGAAATTGTAAAATTCCCTCGGTAGCATAGTTGAAAAAGACCTATAATAAGAGGGATCAGTGCCATTAACGTACATTCATCACTACACATTCGATCGATACTTCAGAAATTGAGAGACCAAAAATGGCGAATCCCTCTCGTTTACACCTTCTCTTCTTCTCCTTCATCATAGCTACAGGTAACACACACACACACACACACACATATACATACTTACATTTTGCTCTGCTAAAAAAACATTATTTTTCTTACATTCCGAGAAAAATGATATAATATAATAATTAACTATTCTCGATTATTTTATCTTGTAACGGTGCAGTGTCCCTCGTCTCCAGTACCGAGTTCACCCTCCAGAATAACTGCAGTTTCACAATCTGGCCTGCATTCCTCACCACAAACGGCGGCGCACAACTCAAATATGGGGGGTTTTCCATGAGCCGAGGAACCTCCGTCGGCGCAACCTTACCCGCGGGATGGTCCGGCCGTATCTGGGGCCGAACAGGCTGCAACTTCGACGAATCTGACGTCGGGAGATGTCTCACCGGAGGCTGCGGCAACAAATTAATATGCGGCGGCGCAGCAGGAGCTCCACCGGTCACGCTCGCCGAGTTCACCACCGGTCAAGGCGGCAAGAAGGACTTCTACCATGTAAGCCTCGTGGACGGTTACAACGTCAAGATGGTAATCACGACGCGAGGCGGCTCAGGCGATTGCCAAAACATTGGATGTGTTGCGGACCTGAACATGCGCTGTCCGAAGAAGCTACGTGTTATGGATAGGGGGAATGTTGTGGCGTGTAAGAGCGCGTGTGAGGCATTTGGCAAACCGGAGTTTTGTTGCACCGGTGCGTACAATAAACCGGAGACTTGTCCACCGACGAATTACTCGAGAATTTTTAAAAGAGCTTGCCCTAAAGCGTATAGTTATGCATACGACGACGCTTCCAGCACTTTTACTTGTGCCAATGCTAGCTATTCTATCATTTTCTGTCCTAGATAAATTATATTTATCGACGACGGGTAATACTATGGGTTCGGTGAAATTAATAGTAAAAGGTTTTTGTGGAATAGTATCTTGTATTTTTTTCATCCAAAACGTACATGCATTTTAGAAAATTAATTCACCATGCAATCAAAATGGTGGAATATAACTTTCATAGTATCTTGTATTCTTCTGGTAAATTTCATCATTGTCATCTATAAACGGCGATTCTTGATCGTATATGCTATCCTCCACTAAGCAAAGCACTACTCACGTCAAGATTCAAGAAGAGAGGGGAAACAGAAAGAGAGACGGCCGTGAGACTTTGAGCATTTATATAAAAAGGGGAGGGTAAGTGTAAGAATTTAAGGCACTCAGTTCACAGCAATAAAAGAGAGATTGAAAATCTTGAATGTGTTGTTCAGTACGCAAAAACAAGAAAAATAATGAACTAGTTTAAGTTGACCATTTAATTTGAATTTGGCTTTTAAGTTGAAAGAGAGATAAAGAGTGACATAAGTCATATCAAAACATAATATTTAGATCCTAAGATAACCTCATGATCGGATCAGAACATATTGTTTCAATTGGGAGCTTCAGAGAGTCATGTTTCTTGGTTTCAGGGTCATTTAGTTTCTTGATGGATAATTACATGGCTAAACAACCGAAGCAATAAGAAACAACATTCTACTTTTTAGCCAAAAGTCTTCAGAAAGAACAAAAACTAGCAGCAAAGTCACATATGGTTAAACAAGTTGGCAGTACCTTACTTACATGATCTGTTATAAGTCAGGGCTTTTCTTTTAGCTGATGCAGTTAAAATCAATGTTTCTGGCTTCTTTTGATTGCAACTTGCACGCTTTCTTCATTCTCTTTGCTGCTTGGACAAACCCCATAATAACTTGAAGCTCATCCATTTGCTGTAACTCATAAATCATATCACAGTTTTAATACATTTAAGACTGAATCAAGTGGAGGCTCAGATGGATATTTATGTACCTGAGACATAAAGTGTCTCTGGACAATGTCAATTAGTTGTTCCTTTGATGGATTTGGAATTGCATCCACCTACAAATAGTTGTGTCAGAAGCAAGCACATAGAAAGAAGATTATAGATCCAAGTAAAGAGAAGTTTTGTTTCTTCTTCATCAAATCAACTTACGAGATTGAAGTGTCGCCAATATTTCAGTAAAGCAGGCATTTCTAGTTTACTAAGATCAACCTTCTGAGTGAAAAGCATATAATATCGCATCAGTAAAGTTAAGATGAGTCGCATTATGTTCAATAGCAAATGGAATATATCTCAAAACTGTGAGTACATACCATGTTTTGAGGAGTGAAACCAGAGCTTTTGAATTGTGAGTCAGATGATAGAGACCAGCTCATGGTCTTGTGAGATGACCGAGATGATCTCTGCCTTTTTTGCTTCGACTTATGAGGCTTAAGTGTGTCCTCAGATGCTGGAAAAGAAAAAACTTGTCATAGAAACAAGACTAAGAAAATCAGTTTTTGAACCATTGGCAGAATCCTTTAAAAGAAAAAAAAAATGGAGAAGTGAAATCTTGAAGAAAACAGGGAATCAAACATACTCATGTCAGAACCATTCCTCTGAGTGTTATCTAAATCAAGATCATCGTCATCTTCGTTTCCAGTGGGAGCTTCAATGACACTAAGCGCATTCCTCTGCAACTTTACTTCTATCCCATTTGTCAATACCTAGACAACAAAAAGAAAAGCAGAACAATGATTACTAACATATTCATTTGAATAAGCTCCACGAGAAAATATATGTGATATGTTTAAAAAAAAAAGTGATATGTTTCCAAATTAAACTTTTTTTTTCTTTTTTGGGAGACACTAACTAGTGGAATGTGATATCAATATTAGTAAAATATATTCCTAGTACTGAGAAAATCGTATATTCAATGATTCTTTGAAGTTTAAAGCCAGAATATGGTGAAGCTACTCCTTCTAGTCTGGCCACATACACAGAGACATAATAAAGAAAGATCTTGCAGAACAACATTATAATATAAACTAAACCAACCAAAGGAAAAAGTGGATTATATAAAAGAAAGTGGACAGAAGTGACACTGCTCGGGGATGAAAATGACGAATCTCGAAAATGACCCAACTAAAAAAGAAAGAACAAAGAAAATGACCTAAACCAAATGATTATCACTAATCAAACAAAGCTAATTAAAATTCAAAAAGAAACATGATGGAGAACTTAGATAACAATTGCAAGAACATTTGATATGATGTTTTTTTCAACAGGCGCGAAAAATAAAGTTGTCTTTTTGTTTTCTGCCTAACTTAAGATTCCATTATCCCTATACATGATTCCTGAAATTGAGGCTGAATCTCAGCAAGAAAAATCATCAGAATATTTACTCCTAATTACTATTTTGAGAAGCTTTGTTAGAAGGAAATAAACTTTTACCATAAAAAATATTAATTAAGAAAAAATATATCAATGAAGGCTTCATGAATAACCTAACTACCCAAGATCCCCCAAATGCAACAGTGCAATAAGAAATTAAACAATAATGGTGAGTTAAATGCTAACATGCATGCAAGAAGCTCAATAAATCTATAACTCTTGGTTTGATGATTAGATGCAAGAATATACAAAGTCGATGAGAAACATTGCAGTAGCTCAATAAATCTATTAACTATTTAAGCAAAAGCCATCTCAAAGAACTAAATCATTTTTAGAATTGTAAAGGGGGGGGGGGGGAAACCCAAAATTAAAATTAAAATTTTGGAAACCTTAAGTTCTCTTCATCGAATCAATAGATTGAATTCAAAATCTGAAAATGCATATGTTGCAGAGTATCCCCAGATTAGATCGAAATGTTTTACGTATTAAAAAAACAAAAAACAGAACAAGGAAAAAAAAACAGAAATTACCAGCCAATACCAACCAACTTACCAGCCAATGCCAACCACCAAGACCGACAGCTTTTAAGACAACACCTTGAAGACCAACAAGCACCGACTTCGTACGGTTGTTTCCGATCACCACCACTTTCGTATGACGTGGCAAAACCGCTAGCTCCTCTTCGCTACTGCTCTCGCCGCAACAAAAGCTCTGTATATGCTGCGATCCTGAGCTATCCACCGCTTCCAGCATTCTTCTTTTCTGATCAAGATTTAGATTTCAGGGGATACAAAATAAAAAGTTCAGCCCTCAACAATACCACAAGATCGAAGATCATGCATTGAAGAGAGAGTAAAAAATCAGATGATTGGAAAAATTGAGAGAAACCAATGCAAATTGCTTCACAAGAAGTAGCAGAGAGAGAGTGAGAGAAAACGAGGGAAAAGCAGAGATAGTAATAACCCACCACGTAAACAAATTACAGTTTGCCACGTAAGCACTGTACTGAAACTATATGGCGTTACGCTGAAACAAAACCGGTTTATCCATTTAACGGTAGGGGTACGTTTCGTAAATTTTGACACGCGATTGACCTGAATGGTTGACTGGTGTCTACTGATAGAGGGAAGGATGACTGAAACTCATTTAGTCATTAAATGACGAATGTACCCTTCTTCACTCCTTTGTATGAAGTTTATATCCTTTATCTTATAAATTTGAACATATTGAAATTACACAGCTTTGGATCAATTATTTGCCGATAGCTTTGTTTTATGGATGGGGTCATTGTCAATGTCACACAGTTTACAATGCTCAACCCCACAAATAAAACCGTCCCCATATTTGAGGAAACTATCAAAGTGACTCCTCACCAAACCCCCTACTTCAATTATTCATTACTTTTAATGCTTTCCATTTTCCATACATCAAAAATCAAAATCTTTTATGCATTTTTGGAATAGAAAGCTATAAACGACCATAACAGGTTGTTTGAATTAAATGAACGTTCGTTATCAGCAAAATTTCGAGGGTTGCTTATGAACATTAAGAATTAGGGGGTTAATTGTAGTAAGATGTAAAACTTTCAGGGATTTATCAGAAAGCTCTAATAGAAAATATTGTCACTCCCGACAACTTTACATATGGGCGATTCTTTATGGATACATTATTGTTCCACCCACATGTATATAGAAAATAACAACATTCGAACATTAGAGGAAGCATGGTGAAATATTAGAGATATGTTGGGCCGGAAGATGTGTATCTTACGGACCAAGATTGTGAAGCCTATGAAACCCATGAAGATCTTCAAGACTAAAAGGAAAGACTTGAAGATCAAGTTAATCTCAAGATATTCTTAGCATATTTACATAAGTGTTTAGGAAAGTTAGTATTATCTAGTGTTAACATTATGTTAATGTTACCACTATATATATGCATCTTGTATTCTCATATTCATCACAACACAATAATATATCACATTATATTATACTTTACATGGTATCAGAGCATTCGATTTTTAGGGATCAAAATTAAAGCTTCCGCAAGTTTTAAAATTTGATGATGTTTATCATCGTTGGTGTTGGTGATGTTGAAGAAGAAGGTGATGATACCGACGATGAAGACGCAATAACGTGGTCATGAGTCGTTAGTTTTGGTGTTTTTAGTTAATAATATTAATAGGTTTTGTTTCGTAAGTCAAAAGGGTTTTGTTTTCTTCTCTTTTCTAGTATTGGTTTTGGTTTGGTGAGTGCAAGATTTATTAAAAGTCGTAGTGGATTTCATGGGTTAGTTAATTGTTTGTGAGATATTCTAAGGTTTAGGATGTCTCAAAGATTGTGTTTTAATTATTCCATAGTTTGGAATAGTTTGGTTATAGTTTAACCATTACGGGGGAGTTTTTTAGTTATGCTCATGTCTTTAGGTCTTTGTTTTTTTTAGTCCGTGTTGTGGACTATCCAAGTCAAGGACAATTTTTTATGGAGCTGCAGTTGCGCCCACGAGATATATTCTCATTGTCAAGACCAAAAGAAGAGCTGAAGTTTTCATTCCCCTTGTTGAAGTTTATTGTCGAAGGAATCTACTAATTTGTTTTCCTCGACATAGTGTCCACGACATACGTGGTCTGCTTTGTGATTGCAGATTTGCGTGTTGCATCCCACGTTTGTCGTGCGGGGGAGTATTAGAGATATGTTGGGCCGGAAGATGTGTATCTTACGGACCAAGATTGTGAAGCCCATGAAACCCATGAAGATCCTCAAGACTAAAAGGAAAGACTTGAAGATCAAGTTAATCTCAAGATATTCTTAGCATATTTACATAAGTGTTTAGGAAAGTTAGTATTATCTAGTGTTAACATTATGTTAATGTTACCACTATATATATGCATCTTGTATTCTCATATTCATCACAACACAATAATATATCACATTGTATTATACTTTACATGAAAACATAAAATATTAGTCTATTCCAATAGCTATATGTATCCACACATTTTCTTATAGAGCCGTAGATCACGAAAAAGTTACAAACCTAAATAAAACATAATCTTAAGAAAAGTAAAGCGGATGCAAGAAAAAATACATGAACAAATATAATGCGATCTACATATAAACAAATAGACAATGCATATCAGTCCATCTCTGTAGATGAATTTCTTTTTTACATTTTTGAATGCTGTTTAATATCTCTGGCTGTTTCAAATATGTATATCTCTTTCTCGTCATGCTAAACTCTATCTACACATAATTTTTTGTTTGTTCGAGATGTTTAACGATATTGATAGTTGTTAAGTTTGAAAGAATTTATCAAAGTTCTTTGCCAAAATGGACTGAGGCTTTTTCGACTTAAGAGCCCATTAAGCCATTTATAATAAAAGCCAGCCCGTTTAAACACGAAACCCTAGCTAGGGTTGTCAGCTCGTCGGTATATATAGCGCTCTCTTTTTTTCTTAACAAGGCCAACAACATATGAAGCATCTTCGTTAGCTCCCTCACCGTCTTTTAATCAATTTATGCGAAAGTGTTTGTTTTGCTATGTTTGTTCTTCATGTATGTTCAAGCTATCTTTTTTTTTTCTTTGATACGTGAATCTAGAAATTAGTTGTTTCCAATGGCAAGTGATGATTATTTTATCTTATTCTACACACAGATGAATCAGTGTTGACAACCAATCTCTACTTATTATCTGATGCCATAACCCAAAACTGTTTATTTCGTTCGTTTCCACATCCTTGCAATGTTTTCTTCTTTGTTAATTTTTCCTCTATGGATTTATTGAAAGTTTACATATTAAGATTTCAGTAATTGAATTCATGTTTGCTTGAAAAAAGTTTTTTTTTTTATGGAAGGATTTTCGATTAATGAGAACAAAAAGATTTCCTGATTTTAGAAGTCAAAATTTATTGTGAATTACTAATTAAGAGGATTGTGAAGAAAGATGAGAGACAATGATGAGACAATAATAGCAGACGGGCGGTCTGAAATTGATGTCGTGTTGAATGTCTGCCTCTTGCTACATTTAGCATCTCTGAGTTTCTGATTCATTCGCTAACTCTTGTCATGTTTTAGACAATTTAGAGAGCTTTGATAACAGTTTGGGTTCTGTTTGTTTCAGTGTACAAACCTTTAATTTTGAATTTAAACGAATGACAATATTGCAAATCACCCATTAATAATTCGTAAATTGTAATTGCGGCTAATTGTTCGACATTATCGACCGTTGAATTAATCTATAAATAAAAAGGCTCAGACTTGAGTTATGTTTGGACACGAAGATCTCCTTTTCTACCGTCAATTTCGGCCTCTGAAGCCTTGCTTCACTTCGGCGCAGCCCAATCGTTTTTGTATTTTGTGGATGAAAGCCCACGAGGCCCCCGAGAATAGCGGAAGATTTTCTTTCATATGAAAATAAAGAAGGGACTAGCCAATAAGGAAGGGAGTCCTATATATTGTCGCAAAGTATTTGTTTATTAAGAAGATAATACACGTGATAAAAAAAAGAATCAGGCGCGAACGCTGTAACCGCCTTTTCTCGTCTGATTTAATGTGCACCGTTGATTAATATACACCGTACAAACTGACAACCGTCAGATCTCTCTGTAAACCGACTCGGATTTTTCGTTCGCCCCTTCTATAAATAGTGGTCGCCCTTCTTCCTTCGATCACAACCCGAATCTTCTCCAGCTGGATTGCTTCTGATCGGATGATGGTTCTCTTGTTAGGGTTTGTCGTTGACTGATACCGCATTGCGGACGCTGATCCTTAACCTCTACTTGCGATCATTAAGGTACGTACGTTCTTCTTGTCTATGCATAGGGTTTCAAAATTTCCGTTTACTTACTCTTGTGTGATTCGTATTATTTCTCTAGGGGTTGATAAAAGGGAACGATGATCAATTCTCTTTGATCTGATCAATTCTCGTTGATCATGTATGGCTCGTGTTTATATATTCTTGTTGCGTTACGTGTCATCTTCATAGGTTAAGCTCTTCCACGTGTTTTGTTTGTGATCTTGAACAAAAAAAGGAAGATAGGTAGTATATGACCTTTGCCATGTTAGGTGTGCTTGCTTGGCAGGTCAAACACCTGTCTCTCTTTTTACCTTTCTTGATCATTCATATGCTTCTTGCATACCAAGATTATGCTTCTTGCATACCAAGATTATGCTTCTTGCATACCACGTAATGCTTCTTGCATACCAAAAAGATAAACATTGCTTATGACCTTTGCCATGTCAGGTGCGCTTGCTTGGCAGGTTAAAGACATGTCTCTCTTTTTTATCTTCCTTGCTCATTCATATGTTTCTTTCATACCAAAGTATGCTTCTTGCATACTAGATTATATGCTTCTTGCATACCACGTAATGCTTCTTGCATCACAATATGCTTCTTGCATCACAATATGCTTCTTGCATACCACGTTATGTTTCTTGCATACTAGATTATGCTGCTTGCATACTAGATTATGCTGCTTGCATACGACGTTTTGCTTCTGGCGTACTAGATTTTTTTTTTGCATACTAGACTATGCTTCTTGCATACCAAAAAGATGAACGGACCCAACATTGTGGCATCACTTGTGCATCTCTAATATGTGGTTTGCATATGAACGAAAAGAATCATTGAGCATCGCTTGTGCTCTTTAATATGCTTCTTGCATTTGCTTATCATCTCAAGGGAACAACAAACCTGACATGGAGCCCGTGATGAGCAGAACAAAGGTATTGATCATCTGTTCCATCTTCTTTTCAGAAACAGTACGCATACGGGAGAATTAAGCGTAAATCTAATGGGTCTAGTGTCTTTAGATTTTGGCAGTTCCCGATTTGTACTCATTGCATCGTAATACTCTCATGTTTCTCTAATGCAGTTGCTCTAACGCAATCATCTAGGTTGCACTCACCCTCATCCTAGGCAGTTCCTGATTTGAGATTTGTATACCTCTTCAGTTTCAGATTGGCTTTTTGGGGTATATATGTGGCTATGAATTTTAGGCTGTATCTATATATAAAATATTACCTTTTTTATGATCCAAAGTGTTGGCTAAAGTAACGTGTGTGTTGTATTACTTATTTTAAGCTGCGTTGGTTGTTTTGGATTTACCAGGAATCGCTTTTGCAAGTGTTGTGCCACCAAAGAAAAAAAAATCAAAAAGAATCTTCACCGCTCTATCAATGTTTCTCGCAGACAGTCTCCTCCCAAGTAGGAAGATGGTATATAAGCTGAACTGTTAAAAAGTTGGTCTCTGTATTTTTTCGGATTTGCAAGTGATTTTTCTTAATCACTGTCTTCAACCGTAAGTTTTTTGGTAATGACTGAAGTTGGATTCTTACAGTTCAATGTTCATTAGCCTGTCTGATTCATAACTTATATTAATGGCTTTTGTGTGAATGTTACTTGTCCTAAACTCCTAATTAATTGCATGCAGGCGGAAATATTTTTTCGTGACTTCTGGACCGTCTAATGAGCAAGCCCTCGTCTGTACATATTCTTTTGACTATACACGAGAAAGTAAGAAAGTGAATCTCTTTATATGCAATCTGCAAGAAAGTTGGACTGCTTAAGACGACTGTAGCCTCATATAGGTCTCTTTATATTTGAGGTGATTCCGATCTTTTTGAAATTCTTGTTTCTCTTGATTCTCTTAACAAATAATAAAAGCTTATTGCCAAGATCTTAGAGGCCTTAAAGTGGAAAAAATCTTAGAGATGTAAAATTCTGGAGTTTGAATAGATATGAAAAGGTATTTTCTAAGTATTGAATTTGTAACCTTACCTTGTAGGTTGTGTTCAACACGTAGAAAGATCGCTTCAACTCAAACGCTTTGAGTTCATATTCAAAAGGCCTAGAAGGCAAAAAGATCAAAGAATGAGACAATAGCAGACCGGCGGTCTGCCTCTTGCTACATTTAGCATCTCTGAGTTTCTGATTCATTCGCTAACTCTTGTCATGTTTTAGACAATTTAGAGAGCTTTGATTAGTTTGGTTTCTATTAATTTTCAGTTTACAAACCTTTGGTCTAATCCAAATCATCCATTAATAGTTCTTAAACCGAAATTGCGGTTAATCGTTGGATATTATCGACCATTGAATTAATCTAAAAATATAAGCTCAGACTTTTACTTATGGTCGTAATGTTTGGACACAAAGATTTCCTTTTCTACCGTCAAGTTCGGCCTCTTAAGCCTTGCTTCACGTCGGCCCAGCCCAATCTTGTTTGTGTTGTGAGGAAGAAAGCTCACGAGAATAGGAGAAAATTTTTCTTGCATATGAAAATCAAAATAAAGTTGAATGCATAAGTAACATTTGGTGCATATATGATATAGCCTTAATTGGTGATCATGTATTGAAACAATATATCTTCATTTTATTGATTCTATTTCAGTGGATCACTCAAAATAAATTAAGAAATCAGCCAATATTGAGGAAAGGAGTCCTATATTGTCACAAAGTATTTGTTTAATGATTCTCTTTCAGTGAATCACTCAAAATAAATTAAGAAATTAGCCAATATTAAGGAAAGGAGTCCTATATTGTCACAAAGTATTTGTTTATTAAGAAAATAAGACACGTGAATTTGAGATTTTGATTAAGGATAAAAAAAAATCAGGCGCGAACGTTTTAACCGCCATTTCTCGTTTGATTTAATCAGCACCGTTGATTAATATACACTCTGCCAACTAACAACCATAGGATCTCTCTGAAAACCGACTCAGATTCTTGGGTTCGCGCCTTCTATAAATAGTGGTCGCCTTCTTCCATGGATGATCACAACCCGAATCTTCTCCAGCTAGATCGTTTCTTGATAAGATGATGGTTCTATTGTTAGGGTTTGTGGTTGATCTTTAACCTCGATTTGCGATCATCAAGGTACGTTCTTCTTGTCTATGCCTAGGGTTTCAAAATTTCTGTTGATACCGTTAACTAACTCTTGTGTGATTCGTATTATTTCTCTAGGGCTTGATAAAAGGGAACGATGATCAATTCTCTTTGATCTGATCAATTCTTGTTGATCATGTATGTCTCGTGATTAAAGATGAACGATCTTGGCCTGTGTTTATATATTCTTGTTGCGTTACGTGTCATCTTCATAGGTTAAGCTCTTGCACGTATTTTGTTTGTGATCTCGAACAAAAAAAAAGGAAGATAGGTAGGAGATGAATATGACCTTTGCCATGTTAGGTGCGCTTGCTTGGCAGGTCAAAGATCTGTCTCTCTTCTTCCCTTTCTTGCTCATTCATATGCTTCTTGCATCACAATATGATTCTTTCATACCAAAGTATGCTTCTTGCATATTACACTATGCTTCTTGCATACTAGATTATGCTGCTATGCTTCTTGCATACTAGATTATGCTGCTTGCATATCACGTCATGCTTCTTTCATACAAGATTGTTTTTTTTTTTTTGCATACCAGATTATGCTTCTTGCATACCACGTCATGCTTCTTGCATACCAAAAAGATGAACAGACCCAACATTGTGGCATCACTTGTACCGCTCCAAATGCGGTTTGTATATGAACGAAGAGAATCATTGAGCATGGCTTGTGCTCTTTACCATGCTTCTTGCATTTGCTTATCATCACAAGAGAACAACAAACCTGACATGGAGCCCGTACTTAGCTGAACAAAGGTATTGAATTATCTGTTCCATCTTCTTTTCAGAAACAGAACGCATATGGGAGAATTAAGCGTTAAGCTAGTGGGTCTTTAGATTTTGGCAGTTCCAGATCTGTACTCATTGCATCGTAACACTCTCCTGTTGCTCCAATGCAGTTGCTCTAACGCAATCATCTAGGTTGCCTAATCCTAGTGAGTTCCTGATTTGGGACTTGTATACCTCTTAAGTTTGGATTGGCTTTTTGGGTATCTACGTGCTATGATTTTTAGGCTGTATTTATATATAAAATGTACCTTATTAATGATCCAAAAAGTGTTGGCTAAAGTAATGTGTGAGTGGTGATACTTATTTTAAGTTGTGTTTGCTGTTTTGGGTTTACCAGGAAATTTTGCAAGTGTTGTGCCCTCAAGGAAGAAAAAGCTTAGACTTTATTGCCAAGATCTTGGAGGCCTTAAAGTGGAAAAAGAATCTTAGAGCTGTAAAGTGGAAAAAAAATCTTAGAGCTGTAAATCTAATGACTTGAAGCTTCTTTTAACAACATGAAACTAAATAAAAAAACAGTCACATACACACACCAAGTGTTTGGTTTTGCATCTCTTATTCACGTAAAAGCTAAGTGACCATGTGTTTTGAGCTAAGGTTCAACATCTATCGAGAAAGACGAACCAACACTACTAGGGGCTGAACCAGTAATACCAATGGTCCACGAGTCAGCCATGACTATCATATCCATTCCTTCTTCCTCTTCATCATCACCATTGTGGTTTTCAATTTTTACCTCTTGGGATGAAGATATCTTCTCTAACTCGATGAACACTTCTCTCATGTAGGGCCGCTTCTTTCCCTTTGAGTTCAAACATCTCCTTGCTAGATTCGCCACTGCGATTACTTGTTCCGGTTTACATGCATCTCTTATTCGAGCATCCATAATATCAAAGAATCTGTCCTCCTTCATTGCATCTCTGAAATGATCCGCTAACGCTTTTATTTCTTGAGTATTTGAAAGCGTTAGCACAGGCTTCTCTCCTGTGATAAGCTCAACAAGGACGACCCCAAAGCTATAAACGTCACTCTTATCAGTGTATTGGCTAGATCTGTAGTACTCAGGATCCATGTATCCCACTGTACCTGAAACAAGTGTGGTCCAATGAGTTTGATCTACGGTTACAGATCTTGATGTTCCGAAATCGGACACCTTGGCTCGATATTTCTCGTCTAGTAATATGTTAGTTGACTTGACATCTCGATGATAAATTGGAGAAGACGCAGCAGAATGCAAATAAGAGAGAGCTCCTGCTATGTCTACAGCAATGCGTAGCCGCACGCCCCATATCATTGTGTAGTCATCAGATTCTTCATGGATATGCTGAAAGAGGTTACCATTGGGGATGAACTCGTAAACAAGAACGGGAACTTCTGTCTCAAGACAACATCCCAGGAGCTTGACCACGTGTCTATGGTTGACTTGGGAGAGAATGACAACCTCGTTGATGAACTCTTCTAGTTTGTCTTCATCCACAACTTTGGATTTCTTGACAGCTACGGTTCTTCCATCTACAAGCATTCCCTTGTACACAGTGCCTTGACCACCCTGTCCAAGTATCCGGTTTTCGCTGAAGTTTTCAGTGGCTTTTTCAAGCTCTTTCGAGGTGAATATTTTTGTCTTCTCTATGTTGCCTTTATTTGTATTTAAATGTTGTTGCAACAATAGTCCCCCGTTACGTTTGAAACACTTCTTTTTCTTCTGAGTTATCCTTCTCTTCTTAAGAAATTTTCTCAACCACCAAAGTCCACTTACTAGTACTAAGATGCCAAAACCCGAACCCACTCCTGTAAAAGAAACACAAAGATGTTTGTTGATCACCATTCATTAGAGTTACGAAATTATATTCATTATGGTGACATACAGTATACTGAAGATGCATTCACTAACATACCTATCAGTATTGGCACAGTCTTCTTTGCCACGCAATCAGCATCTCCAGGCTCATTTATGCAAGTTTGGCTCTTTGAACAGTATCCGCCTTCTCCATAGGGTAGAAGGCACTCATTAATATCTGGAAAATGGATATGAAAGATCGTGGAAAAGTTAATTAGCTCATGATGTTTTACAGGTGTGATTACACTAGTAAATATTTGATTTATGTATCTTTCAGTTTAGTTATAAAATGATGTTCTTACTGAAATTCTGAATTCTATTAATAAGATGATACTGTGATGGACTGGTTTCAATTTAAGTAAATTCAAGTTAGGTGTACTAATAACACTCATCATTTGTTTTAAATATATATGTAAAGCTACATGTGTGTGAATTGTGATGGTAATTAAATGGTGTCTTTTAGTTGTATTTTTTAGTCGATATATAAAGAGACACTGTATGAAATGAGATATATTAATATATAAATAGACGCATACAAACAAAAACACGTATAATAAGCATTCCATGATAAAGTGATTGTGTTAAGGATATAAATTGTTTCTCCATCAAAAGGAATCATCAAAATGAAAAAAGAAAAAGTCAAATTGAAGATTTTAATCAACAGTTCCCACTAAGCGTTTTTAAACTAGAAACATATTAGAAAGAAAAAAAACATATTAGGGTTGAATTGATACAAATCTAAATGATCATGTGATAAATTTATTATAGAAATCATAAAAATGTTTTACACTCTGCAGGAAGATTTGCAATCCTAACGAGATGTTTAGACACACAAACAAGACAGAAATTAGAAACAATTTTACTAACCTTCGCATCCGTTTAAGAGGTATGGGTTGCCTGTATAACCTCGGTTGCATGCACAATTCGCATAACTGGTCCCAGAAATGGTGATATTGTTGCATACACAAGTTCTTCTGCGTCGAGAATTATATGGTATACTATCGTACTCCTCTGAGTTTATACAGTTGAAGGAGTTCAAGAAAGAAAGATTTTTCTCCTTGAAGACCCATTTTATCGTAACTATAGCATACCCCTTAGCGTATAAGCTTTGGGGTTCAGTTGCATTGTATGACGTGTAGACTTCATCGGTTAAGAAAGCGACCTTGCATCCTCCACTTGTCGAGTTTCCCTGATCAAAGCTCTCTATTCTAACACCGATCACTTGCTGCGCCTCAGCATCATCCGGTAAATTTGCACGACAACATCCGTTACCATCACAGCTTCTTTCCTCTCCCACTTGGTTATTTGCACAAACGCTAGAACGGTAAGCATAAGGCAAAGCGTTGCTAGAACATCCGGTGTTGTCTAAAAAGGGGACGTTTTGTGTAGGTAACCTCACTGTGCAGTTCAACTCGCAATCCAACTTTGTCGGCCCGATGTTAGTTAACGACGCCTTGCTGTTGCAACCAACAGCTACAAGGCTGTTCCCTCTCCCAAAGAAAAAAGGGCTGTTTGTCAAATTCAAAACTGGTTCAGACTCTTGTCCATTTCTTGAACATCCAACGGATGTTATTGGGTGTTTGACTCGAAGCGATCCGAATGGCCGATCGGAAGAGAAATAACCACCCTCTTCTTCACCTGCAAATGAGATATTCACAACTTCTATGCCCATCTTGGTAAGGAATGGGAAAGTAGCGTTTCTGCATTCGACTTTGTACCATTCTTCGAGATAGCAACCATCTTGGATTCCAAAGGGGTACTGAATCTTAATACCTCCACATGATTCGGATTTGCACTTGCTCGAAAGAGTGAGAACTTTTGAAGCAAGGATGAGAATAAGTAGGGTAGAGAGAAGAACCGACACGGAGTAGTTGGTGTTGCTCCTCATGATGTTGCTTCTCTTTCTGTTCAAAACCAGCTAAACAAGCAAATCAAACTCTCAGGAATGCACTGGTTACTAGGAACCTAGGCACAAAATACAGTTCAGATAGTCTCAAGTTTAAAAGAAGTTGTGAGATATCTCATACGACAAATTTTGGTGGTGTATGTTATCATGACTTATCGTCAAAGTATATATAAATCAACTAATGGCGTGTTTCTGATAGCTTAAGGTCAATAATCAACGCCGTCTTGTTTGAAAGATGAACCATCAAACCATATAATATCCCTAGCATGCTCTATAAAATATTAATTATCACGGCATCAACTCGTTTTCAGATACCTTTGTCAGAAAATTCTTGATAAAAGGTAGTATAAACTTCAAGATCAACTAGATTAATTAGTAGCGGCATCTTGATTCAATGATTCTTATATTTGCTATCCATATTTTAATCAATAAAAGGAGTAGTCTATATATTATTATTACTTGGAGTCTGGAGTAGTCCATATATATTTTATGTTTCTCTGCACGTTTTTTTGTCGGGGATTAGAAACTCAAACCTCCTATTATAAAAAAAAATATTAACGAATCTTTAGTTTGTAGTCAAACCACTGGACTAACTAGACTTTAACAATCTGCAATAATTCGTTTCCTTCAACGATCTCATTATTTTTTCTAAAACATAAAGGTGATTGACATACTATATATATATATATATATATATATATTTTTTTTTTGAACACAACTTTCATTCATCTAACTTTCATCAGGAGGGAATTATCCATCCTCTTAGATAAAAAAAAAACATAAACTAGAATAATAGACCAAAATAAGAAAATAGTTTTTCAAAAGAAAATGACTGTGAATTCAAGACCAAACTTGGATGCGTCCATATAGCTAGGAAATGCATATTATCTTGCCTATACACACAAAAGAATGACTGGGCCTTTGACCGTCTTAGATATTTCGAAAGTGATGGACATTTTCCAGGAAATGCTTTTGCAAGTATGGTGCCACCAAAGAAAACAATTAAAAGAAAAGATTATTTGCTGTTATATCATTTTATCATCCGAAATTAGACAATTGCCCATGACGTGACTGATTCTTTTTTTTTATGATGAAATTGTCCTTTTCTCTCTCCTTCCTGCATGTGAGTGTGTCAGATTTTTTTCCATTTTTATTAGAAACACACACTCTCTCTCTTTCTCATTCTTTCTTCAATTATTTTTGTTCTTTTCTCCTCTCTTTTTCTTTTTTCTCCATGTTATTTAAGTGAATGTTGAAAGAAATTAGTTATTTTTTTATTTTAATTTACTTTGATTTTTAAAAAAGAAAATTGAAAATCTATCAGTCTGTTAACACTTCTGGTACGTATACTTGTTAACATCTAACACATCTGTTAACATCTGGAACATGTTTTGTTAACAGCTAAAATCTCCGTTAATAGCTAAAATCTCCGTTAACAGCTAAAATCTCCATTAACATCTACATTATTTATTAACAGCTAACATCTACGTTAACATCTACATTATTTATTAACAACTAACATCTACGTTACCATCTTTGGTACATCTATTTGTTAACATCTAATATCTTTGTTAACATCTACAATATTTATTAACAGCTTACCGTTCGGGTACATATATTCGTTAACATCAAACACTTCTGTTAACAAATATTATAGATGTTAACTATCAACAATAGTGATTATTTCTGGCGATTTTAAAGAGACATCAATAGATTTTCTTTGATTATGGGGTGCAATCAAACTAATCAATGATTTGTTTAGTATGTCAATTGATTTTTAACGTAAGGAAAAAAATATCTGGAAGAAAAAATGTGAAAGTAAAGAAAATATAATAAAAAATAAAGAGAGAAATAAAAGGAGAGAGAGTGTGGCTGCAAAAGAGAGAGACATTGTCAGCCGATTGTAAGAAGGCTAGCAGTGTCCAACCAAGCCCAAATTGTACAAAACTTTACAATTATGTCAACTCATGTGTAAATCGCTAATATAAGGTCCAAATATGGGTATTTCCCTAAATCTCTCTTAAAAGAATTCACCACCCTATCAATGTGTGGCGCATACAGTCTCCTCCCAAGCAGGACTGTTAAAAGGTTGGTCTCTGTATTTTGTGGATTCGCACGGGTTTTTCTTAATCACTGTCTTGCAACCGTAAGGTTTTTGGTAACGACTGAAGTTGGATTCTAACACTTCAATGATCATTAGCCTATCTGATTTATAACTTCATGATGATGTGATGGCTTTTGTCTGAATGTTGCTTGTTCTAATTGCATGCACACCTAGTTTTTCCCGTTAGGTAGCTTACTTGGGGACCGTCTAATGGGCCAGCCCTCGTCTGTACATATTCTTTTGACTACACACGAGAAAGAAGGAAAGTGGATCTATCGGCTCAAATGGGAAAAGTACAATCTGAAAGAAAGCTTGACTGCTTGAGGTGGCTGTAACCTGAATCCTGATATAGCTTGAAATGGATATATTTGAGGTGATTCGTATCTTTTTGATTTTCTTGATTCTCTTAACAAAGTGAATAATAAAAGTTTATATAGACTTTATTGCCATGATCTCGAGTCCTTAAAGTGGAAAAAAAAAATCTTAGAGCTGTAAATTCTGGAGTTTGAGTAGATATAAAAAGCCTTTTCAACATATAGAAAGATCGCTACAACTCAAACGATTTGAGTTCATATTCAAAAAGGCATAGAAGGCAAAAAAATCACTGAAGGACTTGAAAATTCCTTTATACAACATGAAAGTTAATAGTGAAAATGACTAAAATAGACCTTAAAAAGTTTTTATCATAGATATAGACCTTAAGTTTGGTTTTGCATCCTCTTATTCACGTAAAAGCTTGGTAAATGAATATGTTTCAAAGCAAGGGTTCAACATCTAACGAGGAAGACGAAGCAACAGTACTAGGGGCTGAACCAGTAATACCAATGGTCCACGAGTCAGCCATGACTATCATATCCATTCCATCTTCCTCTTCATCATCACCATCATCGTTTTCAATCTTTACCAATGAATCCTCTTGAGATGAAGATATCTTCTCTAACTCGGTAAACACTTCTCTCATATATGGCCGCTTCTTCCCCTTTGAGTTCAAACATCTCCTTGCTAGATTTGCCACTGCCATTACTTGTTCCGGTTTACATGCATCTCTTATCCGAGGATCCATAATATCAAAGAATTTGTCCTCCTTCATGGCAGCTCTAAAATGATCCGCTAACCCTTTTATTTCTTGAGTATTAGAAAGCGTTAGCACAGGCTTTTCTCCTGTGATAAGCTCAACGAGGACGACCCCAAAGCTATAAACGTCACTCTTATCAGTGTATTGGCTAGATCCGTAGTATTCAGGATCCATGTATCCCACTGTACCTGAAACAAGTGTGGTCCAGTGAGTTTGATCTACGGTTACTGATCTTGACGTTCCAAAATCTGACACCTTGGCTCGATACTTCTCGTCTAGTAACACGTTCATTGACTTGACATCTCGATGATAAATTGGAGAAGACGCAGCAGAATGAAGATACGAAAGAGCTCCTGCGATATCAACAGCAATGCGTAGCCGCACGCCCCATATCATTGTGTAGTCATCAGATTCTTCATGGATATGCTGAAAAAGGTTACCGTTGGGGATAAATTCGTAAACCAGAACAGGAACTTCTGTCTCAAGGCAACATCCCAGGAGCTTGACAACATGTCTATGGTTAATCTGGGAGAGAATGACAACCTCATTGATGAACTCTTCTAGTTTATCTTCATCCACTGCTTTGGATTTTTTGACAGCAACCGTTCTGCCATCTACAAGCATTCCCTTGTACACAGTGCCTTGACCACCCTGTCCAAGTATCCTGTTTTCGCTGAAGTTTTCAGTGGCTTTTTCAAGCTCTTTCGAGGTGAATATTCTTGTCTTCTCTATGTTGCCTTTCTTTGTATTTAAATGTTGTTGCAACAGTAGTCCCCCGTTACGTTTGAAAAATTTCTTTTTCTTCTGAGTTATCCTTCTCTTCTTAAGATATTTTCTCAACCACCAAATTCCACTGACTAGTACTAAGACGCCAAAACCTGAACCCACTCCTGTAAAAGAAACAAAAAGATGTTTGTTAATCACCATTCATTAAAACTTACGAAATTATATTCATAATGCTGCCATACAGTATTGTGAAGATGCATTTACTATCATACCTATCAGTATTGGCACAGTCTTCTTTGCCACGCAATTAACACCTCCAGGCTCATTTATGCAATTTTGGCTTTTCCGACAGTATCCGCCTTCTCCATAGCGTAGAAGGCACTCATTAACATCTGGATAATGGATATTAAAGATCGTGGAAATTTTAATTAGCTCAGGATTGATTTAACATACAAGTGTGATTTCACTAAGTCTTTTATGTAAGACAAATGAGTCCTATGATAGTTACCAAGTGATGTTTTTAGGCCTCTATAGGTATAGCTGATAATAAAACAATATGCTATAAAATTAGTATGCTGCAGAAGTTGTATGCTCTTAATAAAATTTATAATAAATTGATTGGTAAAAGAGTAACAGTATCTAATTTTAAAATTACCATAAAAATAAGTATTTAAAACATTAATTTGAATAATATCTATATTTATAATGTATTTTTATTGAAAATTATAAATCTTATTTAATTATAAAAACAAATATATTTTAAATGTTTATTATTATTTTTAAATTAAATTAATTTAATTGTAAAATTATTTTTAAAATATAGAATTCATTTTTGGATATAAACATAACTTTTCATATTATTAGATAAAATAAATTTATTATATATAATTTATATATAAAATTATAATAAAATTTAATCTATGATATATAATTTCATTATTTCTAAATATTATAGATTTGATTATATTTATAATATATAGATATGTTTATATTTATATTATATAATATAATATTTGTAGGTTTGTTATTAAAAATATGAATGATATATGTTAAATGTGAAATATTATTCATTTTAACAAATTAAAATAATTCATTTTAATTTTTAAAATATAGATTATTTTTTGGATAATACCTAATTTTATTATTATTAAAGAAATAAATTATATAATTATTTTTCATTTTTATATATTCTAAATGCCAATAGCTAACACATGAGGCAGAGAGATTTTTATAAAGATTTCATATTCTTATTCTATAAAAAAAAACATATATCAAACTGAGGGTAAATCAAGGAAAAATAATCAAATTGAAAACATGAATATTCTACAGTTCTATTCAAGCACGGATCAACGATAGTCTCTTCTTTCTTAATTAGATTGAATTAAAACAAATCTAAATGAGCTTGGATAAATTCCACTATAAAAAAATAAACATGTTTTTACACGCACATCAAATGAAGATTTGTAATCTAGACACACAAACAGACAGAAGTTAGAAACAATTTTACTAACCTTCGCATCCGTTTAAGAGGTATGGGTTGCCTGTATAACCTCGGTTGCATGCACAGTTTGCATAACTGGTCCCAGACATGATGATATTGTCGCATACACAAGTTCTTCTACGTCGAGTTTTATATGGTATACTATTGTACTCTTTTGAGTTCATGCAGTTGAAGGAATTAAAGAAGGAAAGATTATTCGTCTTGAAGACCCAACGTAGCTTAACTGTAGCATACCCCCTAGCGAAAAAGCTTTGTGGTTCGGTTGCATTTGACGACGTGTAGACTTCATCGGTTAAGAAAGCGACCCTGCATCCTCCACTTGTCGAGTTTCCCTGATCAAAGCTCTCTATTCTAACACCGATCACCTGCTGAGCCTCAGCATCATCCGGAAAACTTGCACGACAACATCCGTTACCATTACAACTTCTTTCATTTTCGCCTTGGTTATTCGCACAACTCTGAGTACGGTAAGCATAAGACAAAGCGTTGCTAGAACACCCGGTGCTGTCTAAAAAAGGGACGCTTTTTGTAGGTAACGTCACTGTGCAGTTCAACTCGCAATCCAACTTTGTCGGCTCGATGTTAGTTAACGACGCCTTGCTGTTGCAACCAATAGCTACAAGGCTGTTCCCTCTTCCAAAGAAAAAAGGGCTGTCCGTCAAATTCAGAACCCGTCCAGACTCTTGTCCATTTCTTGAACATCCAACGGATGTTATTGGGTGTTTGACTCGAATCGATCCGAACTGATCGGAAGAGAAATAACCACCCTCTTCTTCACCGGCAAATGAGATATTCACAACTTCTTTGCCCATCTTGGTAAGGAATGGGAAAGTAGTGTTTCTGCATTCGACTTTGTACCATTCGTTGAGGTAGCAACCTTCTTGAATTCCAAAGGGGTACTGAATCTTTATACCTCCACATGATTCGGATTGACACAAGCCCGAAAGAGTGACAACTTTTGAAGCAAAGATGAGCAGAGAGAGAAGAATCCACGAGGAGTAGTTGGTGTTGCTCCACATGATGTTTCTTTCTCTGTTCAAAACTTGTTCCTTGGTAAACTCTCAGGAATGCACCGGTTACACTAGGAACCTAGGCTACAAAAAAAACTCAGATAGGCTCAAGTTTTAGAACAACTTGTGAGATATCTCAGAGGAGAAGTTTGGTGGTGTATGTCGTTATCGTCCAAGTATATATAAATCAACCAATGGCGTGTTTCTGAAAAAGGTCAATAATCAACGCCGGTCTTGTTTGAAAGATGACTAATCAAACCATTTAGTTTTCTAAACGTGCTTTACAAATTATCAATTATCACGGTATGGGAAACTTCATCGTGAGAAAATTCTTGACAAAAGATAGAAACTTCAAGATCAACTAGATTGATTAGCTTCATCTTGATTTATATTTGCTATCAATAGTATAACCAATAAAAGGATTAGTGTATAAGAACATAAACGAAACCTTAATGAAACTAACCACTGGACTAGTACTGAGACTTCAACAATCTGCAATAATTTGCTTTCTTCAACTATCTCATATATTTTCTTTTCTAAAACAGGACAAAGTGATTGCTTCAACTAATATATAAAAGGATGAGTTAAATATTTTTGTAAGCATTGACACCAAGTCAGTGAATTAGGATCTGGAGGCTTATCTAATTTTATCCTCATCAGCCAATTTCTGAATACAAAGGCTACACCCTCAATCTCTTATTTACATCAAAACAGATATCAACAATCCCACACCAAAGTGTTTGATTCACAATCACACCTCGGATACAAACAACTAAAATAAATAAGGATTCTTTCAAAATTTCAAGGTAAAATTCTGCAAATGCATATTATATTATTTAAGCTAGAGAAGCCTCCTCCTGAAGTTTCTTGTAGCTGATTGATAAGTACGTGCGAGAAGACCTACACCAATGCCAAGACCAACACAGACGCCAAGTCCAATCCCAACACCAACCCTTACACCTGCATTGAACCATGACATCTCTCCATCCAAGCACTGATCACTTTTCCAGTACATATCTCCTTCGTATCCATCTTTGTAATTTGCGTATTCTGTTGCCTACTCACACACAAAAGCATGATAACTTAAGGACATCGACCATACATACATTGAAATATTAGCTTTGCTAGGTACTTCTCATACTTGCATCTATGCAATAACTTTCATTACATGTTTTGTATAAGACTAGTTCCTATCAATAATATGCTATATCTTGAAAGTTACCTGAAAATGAACCTCAGAGAAGGCGTTTTTCTGAGGCTCTGCAGTTTCATACTCCGGTATTGAATCTAATGCCATTCTTCTACTTTGCTTCTTTCTCAAACCAAGCTGTAGAGTCTTGGTTAAGATGATGGGTGTTCCTGAGAAGCAACCAGTGACATAGACCTCTATAGTTGGCAATGTTGGCAATAACTCCTGACCCTTTTTGCTCTTCTCTTTTAAGAAACCAGACCCTGCAGTGATCTCAGCTTCACAAGTCATGTTCCACTGACTCTTAGATTCACCAGTGAGCCCATTACCACCATCAGACATCTCAAGAGTTCCAGACAAGACTAGCTCATTCTTGTCATAAACCTCAAACTTCACGCTACCATTTAACCTGATATTGTCTGTGCTGACATAAGTAGCCTCTTCAGACTTCTTATCAACTCGATCCCTCCTAAGCTTTGTAGAACATCCTTCTGAGTACATGCTCATCCTAACACCGTTGATCTCCAAAAGCGTATCAGGATCCAGAGGAATGTGATTGATGGTGAGGACTTCAGGGGTTGAATCTTCCACCGTGAAATTGCTTATCCTGACGTAGAACACTCTCAAATCCAACCAGGGAGAGGAGATTATGGAGCTGAGGTGGTTATAGTTATGATACCTAGGTATTTGGATGGCTTCACTGTTGTTACGTGTCTCACAAGGTTCCTCCATGACCGAGAGAAAGAGGATAAACCAGTGTTTAAAACCTAGAACCAACTCCAACTCGGAAACCTAATCGGAAAAATACTTGTGCGTAGAGGCAGGAGAGACCTGGTTTTGAGGAACAGGAAGCCTTGTCGTAAGGACATGAAACGAGGAATACTTCAAACCAGAAAAAGAGAATCTCTATCCCCCAAAAGGGAAGATTCTCATCACCAAACACATAGACAGAAGCAATAACAATACAAACAATAAATTATTAATTTTTTGTGACAATAGATCTATTATAAGTTGAACCGCAAACGCTAAGATAATCAGACTCAAACTTACGAGATTGACCCAAATAAGAAACAAAGTTTCAAGATGCTCTGTTTCTTCAAGAACAACCTTTAACAACACTCGAAGCTTCTCAAACTATGAAGATCCCAAGAGAATGAAAATAATACTTATAATAAAGGAGAAAAAAAAGAAACTCACCAAAGACGAAAGTCCATCCACATATAATTTAAAAAAAAAAAGATTTTGAAGGGAAATATTGTTTATGGCCAAGATTACACTTGTAGAACCCACCAACACCACCACCAAGATCACAGCTTTATCTTTCGATCAAATGGGAACGCAGCGCGTGTCCTAGGATTGCGATGGACCAAGTTGAGCTGATATAGTTAATATACGTCATTGTTTGAGGGAAAACATGTGGTTACCTATTTAATGAACTAACTTTGTTTTAAAACGTCGGTAAAGTCGTGGATAAAAGTCTACGGTGATGAAAGGGAGAAACAAAAATATCAGAAACAGTGATGAGAAGAATTAGTGAGGTGGAAGATGATGTGTTCTTTTCTGACCTGACGATCTTATCGTTTAAAACTGTTCGTTGTTTCTTTATAAAAATAAACTGTTGGTTGTTTAATACAAACCCAACACAAAAATGATACACATATCCAAATTAAAGAAAGGAAAAATAAAAGCTTTTGTTTTGTTTGACAGCAAGTTGATGAGTAAAAAACGCTGTCATATTCTGCTTCTACGTGTTCTTGAAATCCTCTTTTACCACAACCTCTACTACTACTACCGGCGTTGGCATAATGCCATAACAGAACAGCACTTAAGCAGCACAAATGGGCTTTTAAGTAAATGAGCCCAACGGGCTTATTGAATACTTGTTTAGGCAATAAGTGCACTTTAACAGTCTGTAATGTCAGAATCAAATAAAAAAAAAAAGAAGTAACGGACGGCGATGGCGATCGAAAAAGCGATTTAGATCTCGTCATGATTCGTGGATGGGATCCTGGGATTCTGGATCAGAGATGGGATTGGGGCCCTAAGAATTTCGTTTGGAGTTTTGTGGTGGGAGGATCACAAAGAGATATTACGGTCAAATGGTTTTTCAAGGTTTCTGGGCAACTAAATCGGGATTGGATGATTACGAGATTTGCGGTGATCGCGATTCTCTCTTCGTATCAAAGCGAGATGCGATTGCTGATAGGGGAGATTCCGGTTCGGGAAGGTGTACAGGGGTGGTTTTCTTGCAGCAGTGATATGCAAATTCAAGCCCTTGGCGTCATATTACTTAACCAATGGTCGTTTTCACAAGGTATTGATAATTGGACGATGGGTCATGTGTGTATAGGTCATTTATATGGGTTTTGCTGTTTTTGGGTTCGTTGTTGTTTTTCCTTTGATTTTTCAAAGGGTTTTCTTGGCTTTTTGGTTTATAATCGGTCTGGGATAAGGCTGAGCTCATTTAATAAAACTTGTTTCCAATATTTACACACAAGCACTCAGGTAGTGGTCGATGCTATTTCAGCTGGTTTTAAGCTCTCCTTGTTCGTCTGTTTTCTGATTCACTTTAAGCTAATGAGAGGCTGTCTTTTGTTTGGGATTTGGCCTTACAATATTGATGGACAGGAGTTGATAATAGATGTTAGATTATGGTTGATGGTGTCTTTGTTTTTAAAATTTTATGACTGGAATATAAGATGCTTTTCTCTTAATTGGTTTCAAGGTAACTGTAGTGCTTTGAGTTGTTTCAGTTGGTCTTTAAAGCTCTTGTTTTATCCCATTACAAGGCTGCTATATGTGGTTTGGTTTTCTTCTTTTTGTAAGATTGACTTGTCTAGGCTGTATATGGTTAGCGGGATTTTTCTTGAGGATCACCCACCTTTTCGCTGTCACTTTGGCCTATGTATTTCAAATCCTTTGGTGATGTGGAACCTTCATCGTGGGTCTAGAGAAAAATGTGCCGCTATGGTATTAAGATGGTTTTTTAACTTTTATCCATTTTGTATCATCTCACTTTGGTTTGTGGTTCCTGAGTTTATATGGAACAGGAGTGCTATGGAGCGTTATGATGATATCTTAAGGTTACTAGCTCTTACAATGACAAGGTCTCAGACAACAATTAAGGTGCTTTCAGTGAAGATCCAAGAAAGAAAATGGTTACATTGGTACTTTGGTTATGGTTATGATTTTGGTGATGGTCAGGTTTTATTTTGGAATGTTCCAGTGAGCTTAGCCTCCTGGTTTGTGGGAAGGATGAAGCAGGTCTTTAAATGCATACATGGCCTTCTAAATGTTTTTGTCTATTCTCGCTTATTTTTCTCTTATATTTTCGGTGTATTATTATGGGACTACGATTCGCAAGGTAGTTTTTACGATAATATGAAGTTAAAATCAGTGTTGTGAATCCTTACATTTAGTTATGAGTACGACATGGTATAAGCATCATAAATTCATTGCTCCAACATATAACAAAATCTGTTGGTTAAGTTTTCAAGGCTGCAATATCTGCAATACTTCCAAAAGTCCACAGTTAAATTTTATATTTCAATCCCGATGGTTAGATATTGGAGAGGTAAAGGTTCTATTTTTATTAGAAATTCAGTGCTCTTTTTGGCTTATTGTTTGGGAGCGATGGGGGTACGTAATCAAGATCCAACGGGAGTTCTTTTTTATTTATAATGGTGGTGTAATGTCAGGGTCGGCATTATACTGTGAGAGCATGGTAGCATTTTTGAAAATTATTTTTTATGAGTATACTGAGTTGGAATTGTAGAGGTGCTGGAGGTTCGGATACGGTTCAACGGATTAGGGATTTACGACGTCAGTTTTTTCCAGATTTTCTTTTTCTTATGGAGACTAAACAAAAATTTGCATATATGGATGCTTTAAAATTTAGCTTGGGGTATGATCGGATACACACTGTGGAACCCGCTGGACGCAGCGGTGGTTTAGCTTTAATGTGGAAAAGCTGTTATACAGTTGAAATCCTCTCTAGTAATAATAGGATCATTGATCTTAAGGTCACAATGGGGTCCATTGTTTTTTACCTTTCATGTGTATATGGGGACCCAGTAAGAAGTAGAAGACGGTTTGTTTGGGATAATTTAACGGACATTGGAGTGGTTAGAGATGAGGCATGGGTCTTGATTGGTGACTTTAATGAACTTATGCATAATGGAGAAAAATTGGGAGGAGCTATTAGAGAGGAAACCACGTTTTTTGATTTCCGGAATATGGCTGAAGCATGTAAAATTAGGGAAACGAGGACCACGGGAAATACCCTTTCATGGGCAGGTATGCGGGATCATAATTGGGTTCAATGTCATTTAGATAGGACTTTTGGCAATGAGGAATGGTTTCGCCTTTTTCCGCAGTCGTCTACGGATTATATGAGTATGTGGCCGTCGGACCATCGACCCTTACGGTTAAATTTCGCCCTTGAACCGGAGAATTTGCAAAGGGGGCGTTTTTATTTTGATAGACGTATGCATGGTAAAAGAGGGGTAGAGGAAGCCATTATACGTGGATGGGACGCTGAAAATATTGACTTAAATCTTAGCGTATTGGATCGAATAGCTCGGTGCAGGTCAGAATTATCTAAGCTTAAAAAGACTTCGGATTGGAATTCCAAAACGAGAATAGAACGGTTACAGAGAGATTTGGATAGAGAAAGCTCCAAGCAATTCCCAATTTATGGTTTGCTCAGGCGTTTGAGAAATGACTTGGCTACGGCCTATAGGGAAGAGGAAATCTTTTGGAGGCAAAAGAGTAGAGAAGAATGGTTAAGGGAAGGAGATCGAAATACAACATATTTCCATAATGTGGTGAAAGGGAAAAAAATGAGAAATAAAATTTTAATGCTGAAGGATATTTTCGGGAATGAGAATTATTCTGAAGGGTCTAAAGGACATATTGCTACTGAATATTTCAGAGAGCTGTTTACGAGTTCAAATCCAACTGATTTGGAAACTTTGTTCGAAGGGTTTCAAAGTAGGGTTACTTCAGAGATGAACTCACTATTAACTAGAGAGGTTTCCCATGATGAAATCAAGAATGCAGCATTTGGTATTAAAAGTAGTAGTGCCCCTGGCGAAGATGGTTTGACGGGTTTCTTCTATCAAAAATATTGGCACATTGTGGGTCCGAAAATTATTGATGATGTTCAAGGATTTTTCCAAACAGCCGTGCTTCCGGCAGGATGGAATCACACTCAGCTCTTTTTGCTACCAAAAATTTTACATCCTACGGAGATGAAGGATATGCGACCCATTAGTCTTTGCAGTGTTCAATATAAAATTATTTCTCGCATTCTATGTGATCGTATGAAGGTGGNTACATCCTACGGAGATGAAGGATATGCGACCCATTAGTCTTTGCAGTGTTCAATATAAAATTATTTCTCGCATTCTATGTGATCGTATGAAGGTGGCGTTGCCTAATATAATATCCGAGACTCAAGGGGCTTTTGTCGGAGGCAGGTTGATCACGGATAATATCATTATAGCACATGAATTGGTTCATGGGCTGCGTACCAATGATAAAATTGGTAAAGAGAGTATGGCTATTAAGACTGATATGTCAAAAGCATATGACCGGGTAGAATGGAATTTTCTTGAAGTGTTATTAGAGAAAATGGGATTTGATCGTAAATGGGTTGCTTGGATAATGTCATGTATCTCGACTGTTACTTTCTCAGTATTACTCAATGGACGCTCTCATGGATTTATCAAACCGGAAAGAGGGTTACGTCAGGGTGACCCTCTATCACCTTTTCTTTTCATTTTATGTGCTGAAGCTTTAGTCCATGTACTAAACAGGTCTGAAGAAAAAGAGACTTTACATGGTATAAAATTAGCGTCGGGTAGCCCTTCTATTCACCACCTGCTTTTTGCTGATGATAGTTTGTTATTGTGTGAAGCATCGGTCAGGGATAGTGAAGAAATTTTAAAAGGTCTCAAACTTTATGGTGATGCGTCTGGGCAAATGATTAATCCATTAAAGTCGTCTATCATTTTTGGGAAAAAAATTGATGCGGATACCAAACAGGCTATTAAGGGGGTTTTGGGTATTGAGAAAGAGGGCGGTGAGGGTACATATCTGGGTTTACCTGAGTGCTTTCAAGGATCAAAAAAAGATCTTTTAAATTTTATCAAAGAAAAATTGGAAGGAAGGTTACAGGGATGGTATTCGAAAACGCTATCGATGGGAGCCAAGGAAGTTTTAATAAAATCAGTGGCACTTGCCCTCCCAATATATGCTATGTCAGTTTTTCGGTTACCAAAAGGTCTTTGTGAAAGAATTACGAGTGCGATCATAGAGTTTTGGTGGAGTAGTGGAGATAAGAAGCGAAAAATTCCATGGGTTTCATGGGAAAAGTTATGTAAACCGAAAGAACAGGGAGGTCTTGGATTCCACGATATTGGGCGTTTTAATCAGGCTTTGTTAGGTAAACAAGCTTGGCGAATTTGGAACAATCCAGAATCTTTAGTTTCTCGAGTTCTAAAGGGTAAATACTTCAAAAATGGTAATTTTCTTGAGTGTGGTATGGGGACAAGACCGTCATATGCATGGAGGAGTATCATGCACGGTAGAGAACTGCTCAAAAAGGGGTTGTTTCGTCATATTGGAAATGGGGCTGATACAAATGTTTGGGCGGAAAATTGGATTATCGACACAATTCCACGGCCTCCAATGTACCGTGAGAATAGCTCGATAAACTTAACACTTAAAGTATCGGACTTGTTAGTTCAAGGGTCAAATCAATGGAATATCAACTTGTTACAGCAAACTTTTACACCACAAGATGTTCAAAGGATTCTTCTTCTTAAGCCATCAATGGTACATGATGATTTTATTAGATGGGGCTTCACAACGAATGGTTGTTATTCTACTCGTAGTGGGTACAAGTTGTTAGAGGCATTGGTGGATTTTGACCAACCTCAAGGACAAACACTTACTCCGGTTGAACGGCAACTGTGGAGAGAAATGTGGAAAACTAAAGCTCCCCCAAAAATAAAACATTTTATGTGGCGGGCATTATCTGGTGCTTTGGCAGTTAAACAGCGCTTGACTACTCGGGGGATTCCGATTGATCCAACTTGTTCTGTTTGTGGTACTGGTCCGGAAAGTATCTGTCATGTTCTCTTTACATGTGATAAAGCACGAGAAATATGGGAGCTTTCCAATTTTCCAGTACCATTAGGAGGTTTCTCTAGGAATTCCACTTTTTTAAATTTTGTGCACTTGCTCAAGATTCACAAGAGCCCCTCTACGGATATTCATACAAGGAATGTTTTCCCATGTTTGTTATGGGAAATTTGGAAAGCTAGAAACGCTTTCGTCTTTGAGTCTAAGAGGATAGAGGCATCTTTCATTGCTAGTAAAGCTTATGAGGAAGAATCCACATGGTTCGATACTTTCACTGGTAGGAAGGATGGAGGTGATGAGGTCGTTCCGGAAACCATTAAATGGAAAAAACCACCTATTGGTTTCCTCAAATGTAATGTTGGATCTTCGTGGGTACATTCAAGCCATACTACGGGTGCTTCTTGGATCCTTCGGGATGAAAAAGGGTCCACAATCTTGCATAGCCGTCGTGCTTACTCATGTATGCGCTCAAAGACAGAAGCAGATTTGTGGGCTCTTTTTTGGGCAGTCGATTGTTTGCATACTCTACATTTCTCGAATATTATTTTTGAGACTGCCTCTACAACCCTACATGATGCTCTTACCACGACGANGGTGCTTCTTGGATCCTTCGGGATGAAAAAGGGTCCACAATCTTGCATAGCCGTCGTGCTTACTCATGTATGCGCTCAAAGACAGAAGCAGATTTGTGGGCTCTTTTTTGGGCAGTCGATTGTTTGCATACTCTACATTTCTCGAATATTATTTTTGAGACTGCCTCTACAACCCTACATGATGCTCTTACCACGACGAATTACCTAAGCCTCAGCCATATACGTCACAGCATTTTCTTCCTCCTTGCAAGGATTGAATCATGGAGTTTGGATCATGGCCTTCCCGAACGCAATGAAGCTGCAGCGGCAATTGCTTTGAGTGTCACGCGCGACCTTCGTCATCAATCCTACATCGCCCGTAACGCTCCGGTGTGGCTTCATCATCTACTCGCGCTGGAGGCTCAGCAATGAGGTATTGTCTCACCTGAAATGGCCAATCCTAATCAGTCGTCGCCCGAAATGTCCCGGCTTGGCTTCAGCCTTTTCTCACTATGGAAACTCGACAATAATGGGAGTGGGTGAGATTTACTTTCTTTCTCCTTGTTTGTGTGGTGTCTATTGACATCCTCTTTAATTTCTTATTTTTTGCTTTGTATCACAAATATTATCTTCACATGTTCAAGTGTTATAAAAAAAAAACAGTCTGTAATGTACACAGTGCCAACACTTTTGTTAAAGTTTCAAGCAAAATTAGAAAGTTAGATACGCTCTCCCCTTTAAATTTTGAAAAAAGCTTAATGGAGATCTCAACTTCCAATCAGATCCGGATAGCACTTCTCACAAAGATTTTAAGCTTTTTTTTAAACGGTCACAAAGTCAAAATCTTGAGATCTCTTTCCTTCAATTAGAATTGTCTTTACACCCTTTATTTTTGGTATGCAACTTTGTATCACGAAAATTTATCAGTTTAAGATGTACAAATAGAGAAAGTGATATCTTAACAATTTTTATCAAACTAGAACTTAACCCGAAAAAGGTTAGCTTTGTTCACGTATGAAAAAGGAATATGCTGTTAATTTGGGATGCGATCAAACCTTTTCTAATAAAAAAAAAATCAAAAACATATTTTCACACATACAGAATCTACTCTCAAGATGCTAATAATATCTTTAGAATAATTCCAATGTAACAAAAAAATCAAAAAAAAATACTGATTTCCTAAAATAAGAGAAAAGGAACAAAAAAAAAACACAGCTCACATGCCTCACGTCTCTTGGTTCTTTCTTCTCCTCTCCTCTCTGTTTTGCTTTGCTGCTGTGTGCTTCGTCAAGATTCCTTTTTTTTTATAAAAAGAACGTGCACTCTCCACTACCACCTTTGTTTCTTTCCTCTCCATTGCTTCAGACATCTCTCTCTTATTCAAAATCCAAACCTTCTGGTGGGGTCACCATAATTATCTCCTTTCACAGTCCTGAATTTTTTTTTATTTTTTAAAAAACGCCTGAATTTAATAATAAATCAAAGACAGCATTCTCCCAGTTACACCTCCGTACAAAAAAAAACACAGACTCCCTCTCTTGTGTTCTGTCAGTTAAACAAATCTCTCAACCATGAACACCCCCGGAGATTCACGACACGTCGGAGTACAGATCCGACAAACCCGGATCCTACCGGACTTCCTCCAAAGCGTGAACCTCAAGTACGTAAAACTCGGCTACCACTACGTAATCTCAAACCTCTTAGCCCTCTGTCTCCTCCCTCACACACCAACCCCGAAGATCTCCGTCAGCTCTGGATCCATCTCCAGTACAATCTCGTCAGCATCATCATCTGCTCCGCCGTCCTCGTCTTCGGTTTAACCGTCTACGTCATGACCCGGCCCAGGCCCATTTACCTTGTGGACTTCTCTTGTTACCTCCCTCCTGACCACCTCAAAGTCCCCGTCACTCTGTTCATGAACAACTCTAGACTCACCGGAGACTTCGACGAGTCTTCCCTCGAGTTTCAGCGTAAGATTCTTGAACGGTCTGGTTTGGGAGATGATACTTATCTTCCTGAAGCTATGCATCAGGTTCCTCCGAGTATCTCTATGGCTGCTGCTAGGGAAGAAGCTGAGAAGGTTATGTTCGGTGCGTTGGATAAACTGTTCGCTAACGCGAACGTGAAGGCGAAGGATGTTGGGATCTTAGTTGTGAACTGTAGTCTCTTTAATCCGACTCCTTCGTTGTCTGCGATGATTGTGAATAAGTATAAGCTTAGAGGGAACATTAGAAGTTATAATCTCGGTGGGATGGGTTGTAGCGCTGGGGTTATAGCGGTGGATCTCGCTAAAGATATGTTGTTAGTACATAGGAACACTTATGCGGTTGTTGTCTCCACGGAGAATATAACTCAGAACTGGTACTTTGGTAATAAGAAAGCTATGTTGATACCGAACTGTTTGTTTCGTGTTGGTGCCTCCGCGGTTTTGCTGTCTAACAAGTCTAGGGACAAGAGGAGGTCTAAGTACAGGTTGTCACATGTGGTTAGGACTCACCGTGGAGCAGATGATAAAGCTTTTCGTTGTGTTTATCAAGAACAGGACGAGACAGGAAGAACCGGTGTTTCCTTGTCGAAAGAGTTGATGGCTATTGCTGGGGAGACTCTCAAGACTAATATCACTACATTGGGTCCTCTTGTTTTACCGATAAGTGAGCAGATTCTTTTCTTCATGACTCTTGTTGTGAAGAAGCTTTTTAACGGTAAGGTTAAACCGTATATACCGGATTTTAAACTTGCTTTTGAGCATTTCTGTATCCATGCTGGTGGAAGAGCTGTGATTGATGAGTTGGAGAAGAATCTGCAGCTTTCACCGGTTCATGTTGAGGCTTCGAGGATGACTCTTCATAGATTTGGGAACACGTCTTCGAGTTCGATTTGGTATGAGTTGGCTTACATTGAGGCTAAAGGGAGGATGAGAAAAGGTAACAGGGTTTGGCAGATTGCGTTTGGGAGTGGGTTTAAGTGTAACAGTGCGGTTTGGGAAGCTTTGAGGAATGTGAAACCTTCTAAGGATAGTCCTTGGGAAGATTGTATTGATAAGTATCCAGTAACGTTAAGTTATTAGGCTTTTGTTTGAGGAACTTGGAGAGACTCTACTCAGTATTCATGGTTATGTTCTGTCTTTGATCCTTGACAAATGTCAATGTTCTTGTTTTTGTTTTATTACGTTTGGGAGATTATTTTGATATTTGTGAGTTGCATTTCTTGAACTTCATGCTTTTGTGTTCAGCTCTTAGTTGTGTAATGACAAATTCACAAAAAAAGAAATGAAAAAAATACAAGTATGGATATTTTAACTAAAGTTATGGATCAAAACAATTCTATTTTTATTATTGAATTTTCAAAAAGAAATTGGTGGCAAACATGCTAAATGGTTGAACAAATTATAATCAAGTTCTGAGACAATGAACAAAAGCAGGACATAAAGACAAAGAAAAGGACAAAAGAATGATCTGTAATGGCCAAAAACAAATAGTGAAAAGTATATGTTGTCTGTCTTCTTCTTCTTGTCAAGAATCATCTGAACAGTGCTTGAATCTCTTCAAGAGTTTTGCCTTTAGTCTCAGGAACCCAAAGACTCACAAAGGCTACAGTGAATCCACATACCAAAGCATAGAGAGTAAAAGTTCCTCCACTGCTCCAAGCTAAGAGCATATTTGCAGTCATTGTGACTAACCAAGAGACGAACCAATTGGCCAAAGTTGCTATACTTCCGGCTAAACCTTTTATATTCACTGGAAGAATCTGTTTTCCCCCAAACATCATAATACTTAGTAACAGATTAGATTTATCTTTGATTTTAACATCAATGTTAAGATACCTCAGACATAATTAGCCATGGGATTGGTCCCATTCCTAGAGAGCAAGCAATAACCATAGCCTGTAAAGAAATAAAAATACTCAGCATGATTAAGCACAAATGCCAAACTGTAAACAAGAAAGTTACTTAACAAATGGTGAATGTCTGAAACAAGAAACTTACCACAACTCCAACAACAGAGACCATACTTAGAATGTTGTACATATTGGAATCAGGTGATACGAATTCCTAACAAGAGATTACAAATTTGGTATCAAAGTGAAACTCTACATTTCAAAAATGTTATACATCAAAAAGTTTTAAAAGTACCTTAAGGTAAAACGCAACTGCTACAATCACTAGACTAATCGTCATCCCTATAGAAGAGATCTGCATTTTAAGAGGAACAACTAAGATTTTATTTTGCATTCATAATTAACTCTTAATAGTCTTAAATAAATCCTCACCATGAGAAGAAGTCTGCGACCTGATTTATCCACCAACCATGTCGCCACTGCAGTGGCCAATACCTGGTTTAGAAGGAACATAACGGTTATAAACCAAATCAAATGTCTCCTAAAATGAAGATACATTACCTGGACAGCACCAACTCCAAATGTTGCCACATTACTCGATGAGACACCTAAGGTAATATAACAAAGAAGCATAATAAGAGAACTGTTTATTCTCTCTAAGGAACATTCAAAAACCAAGACAAAGATTTAGAGACTCTACCAGCAGATGCAAAAATGGTACTCGAATAGAACAAGACACCGTTGATTCCTCCAAGCTGTTGAAGTACAAGCAGTCCTATACCAACCTTTAAATATTACAGGAAACATGTGAGTTTCTCTCACAGTTTAGCTCCCAAAGGTAAGAGTAATCGTACCATCAATGGAAAATAGTATCTTCTACGCTTAAGGTCCACAAACCGAATTGCAGAACGTTTGCCAGATGATGCCACAGATCTCTGTATATTGAAAATCAACCCTTTAGCAATCATATGAGCATATTGAAAGCAGTATCATGTTTACAGCAGTTTTCAGTAAATACCTTGATTTCATTAACCTCAATGGTAATGTCAGTATCAAAACCACGAAGAACTTGCAACGAAGTTTCAAAATCATCTGTCAAACCCATCTTTGCCTACATACATGACAACAACAACAACAAAGACAGAACAATTAATATAAAAAATATATATATATATATAAATAATGTCATTCTAAAGACTTACCAGCCAACGAGGAGATTCAGGAATGAAGAAAAGGCCTGGTATCAATAATGTACATGGCAATACTCCTAACGATAAACAAAACAATCAATGATGTGACTAGACCGTAAGGTTGGTTTCTCTTAAGCCAAGTTCAGAATGTTATGAGAGTGTTACCCAAAACTGCAAGAATTCTCCATGGAACAAAGAGACCAAGTAGATATGCCAACATTATCCCAACTGTTACAGAAAGCTATAACAACACAGTTTTTAATGTTAATGTAGAGAAAAAATCAGATCATAAAATACAACAAAAAGAATGATGAAGCTAAGACGTTAAACCTGGTTTACTGAACCTAAGGCTCCTCTCATGTTCTGTGGAGCGATCTCGGCTATATATACAGGCACCTACAATCCCATCAGTTGTGTACACATTATATTTATTCAATTTTATTCCAAAACTTGCTGGAACTAAAGAGCTACTTGAGTCTAGTTTTTACCGTATAAGAGATGATCCCAACGCCAAAACCTTCTAAGAGTCTTCCCATGTAAAGAAAAGAAGTATCCTAAACAAAACCAAGAAGGATAGAGAGGTAAGGCAACATTATCAGAAACCACTGAACACCACCAAACACTTACTTTTGCAAATGATATTGTAAGCCAGCCAATAATATTGGGAATTGCAGCAATCATCAGAGACTGTCAAACAATATATAAACAACAAGTAAGAAGATATAACATGAAATGAAAATAGTTTTAAGAATATTAAGATACAAAACTCTCTTCTTACCCCTTTTCTCCCCATGTACTCTGCAATCTGGCCACTTGCAATTGCGCCAACCATAGCACCCACATTGGATAGAGACCCAAACACAGAGTACTAAACATCAAAACATGAAACTTAAAACGTCAGAAACACTATTAAGCAATAGTCTTTAAAAAAAGAAAGAAAGAGGCAGTTGTTAGATTAAAAGTTTGGACCTTATTACCTCTGATACAGTTAAGCCAAGATCCTTAGTAATAGCAGCTTGTGTTGGAGAGGAATAACCACACTAAACAACATCAACAAAACAAAAAAAATCAGAACGTTCCATTGATTCAAATTAAGAAAGCTTAATAAGAAGTTTGTCTGACAGTGAAACCGAATTGAATAGGACCAAGAGCAACGATCAGAACACAAGCTAGGACAGAAATGGAGCTTTCTCGAATAAATAGAGACGATTCCATCATACTAGATTGTCTGGAACCCATCCGGTACCAGCTTCCGGTGTGTAAGAACGGTCGCCTAAGATCATTTCTTCCCTCTTCCGTATCATCTCTGTTACTCATCCTTTTCTTGATCTATACAAAAACCGTAATCTACGGAGACAGAAAAGAAAGAAAAGCTTTGAATGGGAAAATATCGATCCCAAAAATGAAACATGCAAAAAAGAATTGAGCCTTCTTAAGGATTCGTATGTTCTTCTGAAGGAAAGATGAGATTCGAACGTTGTCTTGTTTTGTCTTTCGTTGTTTTGTTAATTGTTCATCATGGTTTGAGGCAATGCTTTGAGAGACGTAGACAGTTTCATTGCAAATCTAATTAGGCCACCAGAAAACAAAAAGACAGTAGATATCACACCAAACACGTCTCGTTTTGGAGTTATGATTCATAGGTTAGCATACAATAATACTGACCCCCAAAAAACAGAGTATAATCGTTTATATTAATTGGTTGTGTCGTTCTCGTATCTCTCACGTGTAAGTGCATATGTTGTTCTCTCTGTTCACGTTTCCAAATCCCGACATAAGCATTATGTTTCATTGTCTTATTATCCCTACTACTATTGGACTTTTTGTACTCGACGATGCATTTTATTTATTTGAAAAAAAAAAACAGTGTAAATTTTAATTATGGTTTAATTTCAAACATTACTAGATGAAAATGCAAGATCAATAATAATAATGTTGATCGAGCAATGCAGCAGACCGGTCCAAAAGCAGCTGACAACAAACGACGTGAAACAGACGAATCTAGCTGTATCGGGGAAGAAGTTTCAGCAGCTTCTTGACGAATCAGGGAAAAAGAAGGAGACTAGGGCTTCGGTTTATGGACCAGACGGGAAGGTTCATGAGATTTGGTTTAGTGATAATGAGGAGAGGTCGTTGGAGTTGACAATAGGGTGGAGGAAGTTCGTGGTTGATTATGGGCTCAAGGAGTGTTGTGACTTTGTCAAGGTTTGGATGTTTAGGCACAGAGACACTCAAAATATTTGCTTAGCTATCGATGCCACAAGGTTCTCTTTCACGAAACAGGTTAGTAAGAGGATCTCTTGAGGATTTTGATTAGAGAGTTTTGTTTTGGGTTTCATCAAGAGCTCTCGTGGAGGTTAATGGTGTTTAGAAATTTGATTAGGGAGTTTAATGAGACGTTAGAAGTTTTAAGGTTTACATTTGAGTCACGTTTCTCAGTTTCGTAGTCAAGAAATGTAAATAATCATTACATGAGGAGAAAACAGTTGGTTCTTACTTCAGTACTTGTGATATAACCTAGAAGTAATCAATTTACTTACGAGACAAGTAATAATGATCTATCAGTTTTGTAAACTGTAATGTGGGAAAACGATTTTCAGATAACACACCAATATAATAATCCAAATGTTTTTACAAATATACAAGCTGTTGAGATATTACAAAAAAAAATTCCATTATAATAAAGGCTATATAGCTGAACAAATTTGCATCAGATTAAAACTTACTTGATCTATTGATGTCTTGCATTATTGCATTGTTTTATCTACTCTTTTGCATACCTTTTCATCATGTAGGTTAGGTTCTAGCCATGTTTAGGTTGCATTTTGCATACATGAGTCCCCTTTAGGTATTGGAGTTTCACATGGAAGCTTTGGAGACATTTGGGGTTCATTAGAGGCTCAAAAGAAGCAAAAGGAGTGATCTAGACCC